GGTCGTCTCCTTTAAATCTGTGGGAGACTCAGTCGAGTCAATGTGGAGGAATTAATTATTAAAACTGGTTACCACAGTACAAATCATCTTTGCTCTTTTTAATCCCTGGGCTAATTAATATCCTCATGCCTCCAACAAGTGAAATCCCACATGCAGCTGTGCAGATAATGAATAAAATCTGTAAAAAAGAATTAAATGACGTGTCCATTAGTGTGTCAAGGTACATTAAAAAAAGCTCTGATTATATTTKTCACCACCAAAGACCAGAGGTACTTGAAAAAATAACTTAAGCAAAAGTAAACGAAGAAAAGAAGTAAAACTCATAATTGCTCATGGTAATCAGGAAAGTAAAAGTACTTTTACACACTCATGCACGYAAGCAAAATATCTCATGAACTACTTTACTAAGTTCAATGAAACTCTCAGAAAATAATTATTGGATAGAAATGTACAACTAATTAGCTTTCAGACTCAGTTCAGGATGGTCGATACAGCTAAGCGAACACAGAACACCAAAATGGCTATAGGCCTATCAATTTTACAGATGGAAAGTGCACATTGTGCAACGTGTGCGCTTTAAGTCTTATCATTCAATATTAGAATAGAATATTAGAATTAGAATCAACACACTTGCACAATATTTCCTGAGCCACTAGAAGGATTTTAAATGTAGTCAATGGATGCACATCTTCAAATGATTCATGTTTGGAGTCAACCTGATTCTAAAAGGCCAAGCTTRTTGACTTTAGCAAACATGTAAATGATATGTAAGTGTTTTACAAATACTGAGCTAAAGTGTGATACCAGATGAGAGTGATGCCCAACACTTCCTTTAAGATCGCACAAGTCGTTTACAAAGATTGACCAACACAGCTACAACTCCATGTTTTCTCAACCAGAGGTAATAATACTTTAACCCTAACGAGAGGCAGGTTTGGTTTTAAAAGTGGGGTATTATGTATTTTACAGGCACACAGTTCGATTCTATACCACAATCAAGTAACTTCAGTTGTTATATAAATGCTGTATGTATCAAAAATAAATATGATTTTACATCATGGCATATCTAAACRCCTTGAAAATGGCCTCTGTCTCTTTAAGAACATCCTACCGTTTCTGACACTTCCACTTCAGCACGTCTTCACAACCGTGCTTCAGGTGAGGGGTGCTCTGTGGGGCGGGAGCTCCGCTGCAGACTGAGCTCCAGGGAGGAGCTTAGGGTAAATAGGCAGAGCTTTGTAGCAGCAAGCATTTAGGCAGCTCCCCAAGGCGACAGGAGATTCAAGTAAAAGTAAGCTGAACTCCTTTTTTAAATTGTTTTCTAGTGTTAAAACACACAGAAATATTGTAAATATATGTGGGTGTTTTGTCATCATCTGCAGCTGCGGCCCTTTTTAAGAGGAACATGAAAACAAGAGCATATCACCAGTGCTGGCCTCTCTTTTTGTCCATTATATTGATTTTGATAGTTTTACGGCAGCWTTTTTAGGCTCTTAATGCACTTGGCTAACAGTTTACCTTCATCAATGTTTAGCTGAAGTACTGACTTCAAACAATCACATGTTTGAAAATGTTCCCAGATTCAAACCTAAAAGGTTATTTTATGTGCTGCATGTATTTTGTGGAATAATTGACATTTCCGTATAGATGCAGAAAGATCCTGCTGAAAAATCCACTCCTACTGACCTTTGACTAAAACAGAATAATGTCATCCCCCTATGCATTGCTTTTTAAATTTAACTTAAAAACTTCCTTAAGTTTTACCCTTTGTGTTCTGCCTTTTTAAAACTAGATATCTGTACATGCTAGTTTTGTTTTTTTATTATGCCCTCCAGGTTTTGATGCTTGCAAAAAAGCATAATTAGATTTTTTCTTAAACATATTTTTTTACATTTTTGTCCACAAATCTTGTATGCTTTTAGTTTTATTTTCTCCACTTATGTTCATAATCTAAAAGAAAAATCCACCCAGTGGTATTTGTACATTTCTTTACTTTGAGTTCTTTGCGGTGTGATTTTGAATTGAGAACCTAYAGGTGACACCACTTTGATGCCTCAGAGCTGATTCAGATGCAGTCATTCTTTCTAATGGCTAATTTGTTGACTTTCTCATCATTAAATGGCCATTACTCTTGTCATCACTGCCTGCAAACATTTAAAAAACGACCTCTTCAAAAGTAAAACCTGAGACAGAATACAATACCTGACATTTGAAGCTGTGGGAAACATTTATTAGATGACAGAGCACATGTTCTGTGAAAAGCTACAAAAAGGAAGTGGGCTGGATTGAACATTTTGAGGTCCTTTAAAAAAGCTTTCACTGTTAGGACACAAGTCACACGGACCACTGAAAATGAAATACCTCTTTAAGGGAACAAAAAAAAGATGTGAACAGAAGCAATGAGGTAATCAAGCTTTCATCTGCTCCCAACAAAAGAGCTCCACCAGACCAGGACCAACATGAGGTGGAGTCTGAAAGGAAAGCAAGTTACAGTTTTTCACATGAGAGCACCAGTATTTTACTGTCAGGAGAAAGAGCAACGATAAACTCTTTTAATAAGGTTTCATGTATCAGGAGATGATTAAAAATTAACTATAACCATTCAAATTTAAGCTTACAAACATCATATTCTGCCTGTGTGCATGTTTAGTTCTGTGTGTTGGTTCCTCCATGAACTCCTGCTGTCAGGTCATCATCTCACACCTGTTCCTCATTTGCTAATCAGCCCAGCTGCATCCACTTGCTCATCATCTCCCTTTAGTTTTAGCTTCTTAAACAGTTACTTCATGCTAAAAAGATACTTGGGCACGTTTGTAAGTTTTTTGCCAGTTTTCTTTCCTACATTTTGGGTTCTTTAAACATAATTTCTGACGACGATAAGCACCTCAAGTCTGGAAAGGTGATGATTTAGGTTTGTTTTTAACCTTTTTTTGCTTTTTGTTTAAAAAAAAAAGGCAAATCCCTTTGAGATGGCAGATCTTGTCTTTTGAGGGAAAAACCCACATGCAAAGTCCACAAACAAGGATACACAGCGAGGTCCGAGTGAGYGCATGCACCCCTTCAGAAGGGAAGCAAGTACTGACAATGCTTCATTTGACTTTTAACAAAAGAATAGTTGGAAATTTCTGGTGAGAGGGAATCTGGGTCAGACAATGCTGTGAAAAATCTGACGAGGTTAGGACAGAGATTTGAAGAGTAGTGTTGTTTAAAATTAAACACTAAATTGGTCCTGAACTCACAATAATAAATAATGCCTGTAGAATAATTCCTAACATCAATGAACGACTCCAGGAATTATTCCAAGAATGCAAATAACTTACACTYGTGTAACTTCTTCCAAACTCCACACAGAGTCTGGGCCTTGAACCTGCAACCTTTTTGCTATGAGGCAAGAGTACCACTAAGCCACCATGCATGCTGTCCATTTTTGTTTAATAAATATTGACACTATTGAAATTTTCGTGAAACTTTTTATGTATTTGTTTTACTCTTAAGGTTAAGTTTGTATAACAGAACTTGATTATAAACCAGGAGCTGATCGGCGCAGCTGCTGTTGCCTTGCAGCAAAAAGGATCGCATCAAACTTTTGCACGTTTTCTCTGTGGATTTTTTCTGGGTGCTTCCTCCCACAGACCAGAAACATGGATGCTGGGCTAACTGGTAAYAACAATCCTCAGGTGACAGAGAAGAGCTGTTTGTCTCAATGATGGGCTTGTACCTGTCCAGGGTACCACCCCTCTGACTGCTGGACCTATAACCCTGAAAGGAAGAGGATGATGGATGGATAAAAAAAACTGATTTACTATATACATATATTCTATTATATACAATTAAACAAAAGAAAGAACGTTCACTTTATTTCCTCCCCATGCATGATGCATTAAAACTAGTAACAGAAACTCACTAAGAAAAAAAAAAAAGAAAAACAAGATCATGTTTTTATTTTCTGAGATTTCTAAAAGGTACTTTCATCTTTTTTTTATTTATTTTTTATTCCATGCAGGTCTCTTCCTTGTGG